TCGCGGGAGCACAAGGCAGCACCAACAGAGTTATCAATGTAGCAGAAAGAGTTGAGGATGGTGCAGTGTAGTTGTTAAACAGGGACTGAGGCAGGCACAGCTTGGGCCCATGTGGGTGCCCATGGCCACCCCTTTTGTTTGCAGGAAGTGGGAGGAATCAAAGGGAAAAAAAAAAAAAAAAAAAATTGTTGAGGGGGAGAATCAGTTCCACCAAGCAAATGAGCGGGTCAGTGGAGGGGGACTGATCAGGCCTATGGGAGAGGAAGAAGCAGAGGGCTTTTAGGCCATCGTCATGGGAATACATGCATACAGGGACTGAACGTCCATGGTGAAGATGAGGTATTGGGGGCTAGGGAATTGAAAGCTTTGGAAAAAGGTGGGTTGTGTCCTGAACGTAGATGGAGAGTTCCTGGACTAAAGGAGAAGGGATGTTTTATGGGAAAGACAGATTGTTCTACATTTGTTGGATGGTTTTTGTTCAAATTGTAAAATCAAGTTAAAAACACTTTCTATAAAGTTTTAAAAGGGGATTACCCTCCATGTTCTAGCTTAGGAGAAGGAAGGATGATTTGGACATTAAAATATTACAATTGACTGTTTTTGTGAAAGTTAATGCGCATGAAACGTATCTAAAATATTGGCAATAACTTGATATTAAGGGATCACCACTTTCTGTTTAGAACTGTTAGGAGAAATAGACTTAGTGCATTATATTCATTTCCATGGGCAATTGGGTTATGCCCCTCTCAAGCCATTTAATTTTGTGTCAATAATGGTAGAGTTCAGGAGTATCAAATACTTTGGAATTCAGAGCCTGAATATAAAAGCAGTGTTCAGCATTTTCCCCATTAACTGTAGTTAGAAACAATATGCTCACCAGGAAGTGAAGTTTGACTGGGTAATAACAGGTGAAAGGTTATTTCATCTATTCATTTGGTTTATGCTGACCTTAATTCCATTCCAACAGGGTTACATATTATTCAGAGATAAAGAATGAATGTTGGGAAATGACATAACCCTCATAAAACACACAGTACTGTAATAAACAAGTTATTTTTATTCTTGTATGGGATGTGGGCGTCACTGGAAAGACCAATATTTGTTGCTAATTGCTACTGAGAAGGTGGCAGTGAGTAGCAAGACTTTAAAATTAAAGTTATAGATTTAATCCATTTGCTGAATAATTATCCCCATTCAATTCTACAGCTTATTTCATTAACTGTAAGAAACACAGGGTCAAAAAGAGATATGAAACAATGTAAATCCTTTGAGTTTCACAGGATTCTACATTGGTACATCACATCATTCATTTATACCTCTTCCACTATTCAGTCTTGTCTCAGGATTTTTGTTTCTAGAAGGTTGAGTTCAGAATCTTGAACACAAAACCTATACTGACACCCAGTACTGAGGGGAATGCTGTGCAGGGGAGTCAAGTTGCAAATGATGCACTAAACTATCTTGCCCTCCTCAGGTGGGCAAGAGATTTAAAGCACTGCAAAATGCAGAGGAGTTCTTGCTGCATGCCAAGTGTTTCCTACTTCAGGTAAGTCAGAGACTGGCACATTGAATAAAAGCGATAGCTAGAGGTAGTGAAAAGCAGTATATAAATAAAAGTTCTCTGGGCTCTGGATCAGAAGGTCCAGATTCAAGTCCATTCCATTCCTAGAAGGGTGTCATATTTTAAAAAAAAACTTACTCAGACATTATATCTTAAATGAAAGTTCTTTCTATGCCACTGTTTTGCTGTTTACAAGCTATTTTTACAAAAGCAAGCTACAATCTGAATAGCACGCAAGTTTAGATACCTTAAATGACACCACTTTCAATTTACTCACTTCCCTAGAGAATTAGCTGCTCTAAAACAATGATAGGAGGAGCATAAAAATTGGCACAGGATAAGCCATCCAGTGATTATTTGCTCTTTCATTAAAGAAAATTAGTAATCTGCAATTAAGTGAGCCAGAAGTTCTCATTCAAGTCCCATCTGCCCAGAAGTGTATCATAAATTGACCGAAACACAAAAAAGTGGCTTAGCCTTTGCTTAGCTTTTAGTAGAATTCAAAAAAGAAAAAAATCCTGTCAAAGTCAGAGCATCATGGATTCATGCCTGATTAAGGCTTGCGCTCATCATCTAAAGGGAGGCAGCACTGCATGTACAAATGTCGTGCCAGTTGGCCAAGACGTTAAATGAAAGCTCTGCCTACCCAAATGGAAATTAAAGAAAGAGGAATTTTCCTGGCCAACCTGTTCTCCTTCTCAAGTGGAAACTACCAAGATCAGATGAGCTGGTTATTCATCTCATACCTCAATTGATCTTATTGTGCACAAACTGGTTGTATATTTACCTCAACAAATAAAGCTACTTGTGCAAGACACTTGGCACACTTATGGCTGAGGTGCTATTAAAATACAGGTTCTCTCTGCTTTATAGTTGAAACTTTGGGGGCATATTAATCATGTTTCTTTTGAAACTTTTGTAAGATTAACATGCTAAGCATCAATCCTCATCTACCTTCTCCACTGCAGAGGATCAAAACTTGGCTGAGTGGAACATCACATGGCATGAACCATTAGTTAACCCTTTAGCTAAATAACTTGCTGTTGACATCACAGCAAGGGCAACAGGACACCTAGGGTTTTCATGAACAATAGGACAAAGAAGTTTACTTCCATAAAAGATACTAGTTTCAAGGACCAAACAGAGAGAAAAAAAACAGACAGGATAAATTACAGTCAAACCAGAAAGAGAACTGAAGAGAAAAAAAAGCAGAGATTTGATTGAACAAAAAAAAAGGAAAATAAGGCTCAAGTGTAAATTAAGAAAAAAAAAATTAAAAATAATGATACTTTTAAGAATTTACCATATGGGGGCATGAAGCTAAACAGCGTAGCTTTAAAGGAAGAGTTAATGGCATTGTATTACTCATTATTACAATTTTTTTTAAAAATTGTATTTTTAAAAGGAGTTACACTATATGCTTCTTCACGTGACCTTGTTTGTCGGTTTGCATATCATAACTTTCAACATGAACTCATTTTTCCAGCTGGATTTGAACTTCTGTATCATTACAAGATTTGACCTAAAGCTACAGCTGATGAGACAACTATTTCCAAACCTCATACAGAGCCTCAACAATTCTACCATATCAAGTTATTAATAACTAATGTTAAATGTAATCCACACATCAAAAAGGGAAAATACTGGGGATGCTGGAAATCTGAAATTAAATAGTGCTGGAAAACTCAGCAGGTTTGACAGCATCTGTGGGGAGAAAAACAAAAGACATTGAGTCTGATATGACTCTTCAGAAATTAAGAGGGGCTAGAAAATTATGTTTTTATGCTGTTTAAAAAAAAAAGGAGCAAATGGAGAGGATGACCTGGGTAAAAGATGAAAGAGAATGCCAATGGTAATAAAGGAGCAATTTAGGACAAAATAGGTGTAAACGCTAAGTGGAAATAGCAGAAGCTAGGTTGGTTTTGACAAGAGCAAACCCATACAAACAAGCCACAGGGCAGTTTGAGGTGGGAGAGGCAATCTAGTCTTGTTTTATTTACTGCTCACAATGTGGTCTCTCTACCAAATGCAGACTGAGTGACTACTTTACTGAACACTTCTGCTCTGTCCACAAGAAATACCCTGATTTTCCAGCTGCTTGCCATTTCGATACACTACATTGCTTTCATTGCAGTCCTTGGCCTGCTGCAGTGCTCCAGTGAGGCCCAACACAAGCTTAAGGAAGAGAGAAGGCGGGGGGGGGGGGGTCTAGGCCCAAAACGTCAGCTTTCCTGCTCCTCTGATGCTGCTTGGCCTGCTGTGTTCATCCAGCTATACACCTGGTTATCTCAGATTCTCCAGCACCTGCAATTCCTACTATCTCTGAAGGAAGAGAACCTCGTTTTCCATTTAAAGCACTTTACAACCTTCAAGACACAGACACTACACCCCTTTATTCCACTCCACCCATCAGTACCTTGTTCGCATGTGATTGCTCTCAGCAAAGCCAACCTGTTTTCTATTCACAACTAGAATTACTCCTCCTGTAACATTACCAGTCCTTTTGCGTTTTGCTATGGCACCCTCATCTATTTAACTCACTACTCCTCCACTGTTGTCAATAAGATGAGAACTATTTTCCTGTTCCCTTCAGTTCCAAAAAAAAATATCAGACTTTGCTAACTTTCTCCTTCTATAGATGGTGCAGGCTTAATAGGTTTCTCCAGCACTTTCAGTTTTAAAATCTTAAGTGTGTCATGGAAAGCCCCTATATTTGCAAAACACGACGAACACTCGAAACTAAAAAAAAGTGACTACGTCTCGATTCCCAGTTTTGTTTCTTAGAATTGAAATAATTGTTCCAGTTATCTAAGTCGGTAAATTATGTAATCGTTGATGTTAAACTATATTATAGCCTGGCTATTTTAAAGAGCAAACATACAAATATACATTTAGTTGCGTGGCTAATGGAAGAGGCCTCTTGAAGTGGAAAAACACATTTGCGAAAGCAACTTCCCAGTTGCCGTGGTAACGTGCACACCCCTCGGAAGAAAATAAAATTACAAATATGAAATGGTTGTCTCAATTTCAAAAGCTGCTTTTCAGGCTTCTGATACTATTACTAGAATGGATCGATAGCAGCATTTCCGAAATCTTTCACCATGGCCGTAGCTATGGCAACAGAAAAGGGGCGTGTAAAGGATACAAAGCAGCAACCAGCAGAGCTGGATTGATTCATCAGACACGTTTTACCAACTAACAGTAACCCTTTCCTATTATGGCGAAGATCAGTGATTTGTCCACCATGTGTCTACATTCAGCTGGTGATATTTAATTGAATGTTACTATCCACCTCCAGAGGAATCCAGGTAAATAACTGAGCTTTTGCTCTTATGTATAGATTAATTCAACTAGCTGTCTGCTTTTGATATGCTTTTCGAACATTCAAGCGAGAGAAAACGCGCCGTGTAATTAAACGAATCTAAACTGTTTCACATACCTTCAAACAAATGGTCTTTGGCACGTGTAGCTCAGTAGCAGAGAGGAAATAAACTATCACGTTTCAATAAGCAGTAAATTCATCTGGTGCTTATAGGGAGACGAGCTCCACCCACGGGCTGGGCTTGGAGAAGAAATGTGTTCTCAGCTGACGTCTCTCCCCATGCTATGTCACTTCCTTTTAAAGCTCTGACTTAGCCTAGAGTGGAAAAGGTACTTCTATGATTCATTCTTCGCCCCTCCCTCCCTTGGACGGTGGCCCATTTTTTACACCATAGACCCCGTAAACAGAGTAGCTTTGTGGAGTCAGCTTTACGAGTGTTTAAATAGCAGCTGGCCTGGCTGATATCTTCATTTCCCCTGACCCATCCCCATTCCACAGAGAAGCATGTTGTAAGTTATGCTGTCTCTGTGACTTGTAGATGCTTGTGTTGAAATCAACTGGGCATATTGAATGTTTGGGGGACAAAGCCCAAACTAACACTTATTAATCAAGGAGCTATCAAGGCAGCAACAGAGCTGGAAATGGAAGTTTGCATGAGTCAGTCACTTAACACTATCACAACACAACAATTTCAAGGATCGTTTCTCCCTCTTAAGTGTAAGGTAAGCCCACTTCCACTGCTAGGGTGGGTGAGGGCTGGTATGCCTCCCTTCACCTGCTAATTGTAGTCCAGAGTTAAGAAAATGCCTAGCCGATGAGTCACCTCCCCACTGGCTACAGCCATATTTGGGTTGTCTGATCATGTTGTAATGCACAAATCCATTTCTTCAGCAGATTTATCTGTTCTGTCTATTTTTGCTTTGTGCATTTAAGAGTGGTATGTTAAACTACACAGCAGACACTTAACTTGGACAAATATCTCATTCTGAAGGATTTGTAATCATTTTCAGATTATAGGAATGTTAAAAAGATAACATCTAACCCTCAATCCTCTTCCCCATCTCTGATGTTTGAATTCCTTTTGGAGAGAATGTGAAGCATGTAAAAATATACATCTTGTACTTTTCAAAAAAATTTTGAAACACATTAGTTTAGAATCCCTACAGTGTAGAAGTAGGCAGTTTGGCCCATGAAGTCCACACCAACCCTCTGAAGAGCATCCCATCCAGACTGAACCTCCTACTTTATCCCTGTAACCCCCATCTAGCCTGCACATCCCTGGACACTATGGACAATTTAGCATGGCTAACCTGCACGTTTTTGGACTGTGGAACCAAACTAAAGTACCTGGAGGGTACCCACACAGACACAGGGAGAATGTGCAAACTCCACATAGTCACCCAAAGTGGAATCAAACCCAGGACCCTGACACTGAGGTAGCAGTGCTAACCACTGTGCTACCCATTTTGGGCTAGTGTAATTTTCTTTTTTAGTATATTTGTAGAAATTTCAGAGATCAGAGTAACACCATTCAGTGAATATTCAACATCACTGATGGCATGTGAAAGTTTCCAGAGAAAACATAAATACTATGTAAAATTAAAGCCTGAAAAGACTTATAACGAGTTAAAAATGCTCTATGTCAGCACAAAGCAAAAACAGAAGAGAAACCTGTTGAAATAATAGATTTGTGCATTACAGCATGATCCGATAACTTGTGGACGGTCAGATAGTCACCACACAATGTAATTGTTAACGGTAGCTCAGTGTTTATATTCTTGACTCTGAATCGGAAGGTTGGGTTTCATGCCCCATGCAAAATTTGAGAAATATCAGTGCAACACTGAAGGTGTACACCTTTAGTTTGCAATGTTAAACTAAGGCTCTATTTTTCTCTCACAGATGTAAAAGATCCCATGTGCTATTTTAAAGAGCAGGAGAGTTTTCACTTACGTAATGAATAATATTTATCAACCAGTATCACTTGGTGGTACCTTGCCCTGCATTATTTGATTGCTGCACTTTATACAGCAGTGACTATATTCAAAAATACTAATTAACTGCTAGTCAGTTTCAGACATTCCAACGTCATGAAGGGAACATAGAACTAAGTCTTTCTTGGTTTTAGCACTAAAGCTGTACGGATCACATAATCCTAGATTTGATGTTTTATTAGGTGTTGAGTTTGCTGATTTCAATATCTGCCACCATGAGACCTCTTTGTTAAGTGAAAAGTAAAAAGAATGGAAAATTGCCTAAGTCAGGAACATGTTATTTTACAAAGTATAGCAGAGTTTAAGTACTCTAACAAGGGAATTTTTATGCTAGTATTTACACTGTTCTTGCGAGTGCAGTGCAGGGTTTTTTCTAGTATGAATCCAAACGTCTGCAAGTTAGCCAGGCAACTGATTCTCCTGTTTGTGCTAACAAGTCTCACTGATATATGTAACCAGTGAGTTAGGAGTACTGCAACTCACCCAGTTTTGAAAGAGTAGGGATCAAATGGCTCCAACAAAAAACAGCTGACAGAAACTGGCCTAGAAATGAGTAGTAGATGATTTTTGGGATATAGTGGGTCTTCAAACAGGCCAAAGTTTATTTCATGTGGCTGGTAGGAACACTGAAATTTCCTGGTCCATACTCAGGCATTGAATGTTTCCCTGGCCTTTTATTGAGTGGCTTCCTTTTAAAAATCTGAGGCCACTCAATTGCGGATAGAACTGGATGCAACATGCACTATTTGAGGCTGCACAACCATTTAATGGCAAGCCTAAAAGCTGTTTTTGTTGGGCTTCTGGCCTTCAAAAAAACACACAATTTTCTAACTGCCATTTTAGAGGGGAGAATTATTTGATATTATGGCTAATCACTGGAAATTAAAACTGGGCGGTTTCTGTAAGAAAATCTAAAAACCCACAATATTGATTTTACACTCCAGTTGAAAACTGTCCGTCATTGTTAGAGGTCACATAGGAGGAATGATTACTTTTTAAAGCTACAGGGTTCATTAATATCACTAGAACGTTGAAGTCGATCATTCGTTGGTACTATGGAGCAGGACCTCAGCATGAGTTAGCCTTATCTGTGTAATGTTTACGAGCTTGACAAGCCCCTCAAACTCACTGCCTATTTAGCCTTCTTTGGCTTGGCATCCATTGCCTCTTATGCATCTTTTGGGTACTATAGAAGCATAAGATGTTGTACTTCACTTATCATTATAGAATTGCAAAAAATCAGATTGCCTGTCATTGATAACTACAATAATTTAAGGTTATAACAAAACTTGCCATTTCTGCCATTGAAAGTTAAATGATGTTAACTACAAATCTTATTATTAAAAGAGATGGGCTCAACATTTCCATGTCCCTTGAGCCTTGCTTCTCAGTAGTCTTATAAACCACTCTGTATAATCATTTGATCTTCACATTTTCCCAAAAGCCGCAAATTTCTTCCTGCCTCTGCATGCTTCCTCTATGCATCACACTTATATAAAAGCATTGAACCTTACAACACAGAAGAAGTCCATCAAATCTTTGCCGGCTCTTTCAAAGAATGGTCTAGCAAATCTCAATGTCTGCTTTCTTCCTGTAGTCCTACAAATTTCTCTTTTTCAAATTTATAACTAATTTTTTTTTGCAAGCATTTGATTGCAGATCAGAATAACTGACTATGTAAAACAAAATTCTTCATTTTCTGTCGCAATTCAAAGACAGAACTTGAGTCTATAATCTAGACTGACAATCCACTTGAGTGGAAGTACTGCATTGTTAGAGGTACCATCTTTCAGACGTGATTTTAAACTGAGGTTCCATTAATCCTCTCAGGTGGCTTTCAAAAAACACGTCTGGCCAATATTTATTCCACAGTTAACATCATATGGAGTTCAATTTCTGGTCATATATCTCATTGGTGTATCCTGACGTATGTAAACTGACATATACATTTCCAAATATTACCACAGTTACCACATTTCAAAAGTACTTAATTGTTTGCAATTGGGATATCCCGAAGTTGTTAAAAGCTCAATATAAATACATTGAATTACTTTCATGTTACAGCACATCCTTTAACTCACTGTAAGTAATGCACATGTGCATCTTAATTGTCAGCCACTATTTGGCTGTGGAACCATTAGAGATAGGACCAGTTGTTAATTTTCTGCTTTTTAGTCCTAGGACAACGAATCCAATTGAAGTGCTCCAACTGCTTACTCAACTGAATTGAACTGGACTCAATATAGACGAATTATTAATATTGGGCTTTATAGGTACAGTGTTGGAGTCATTACTTCTGAGCCAGGTAGCTTGGTTTGGAATTCCACCTGGACCAAATTGTTTCATAACACATCTGAGCAGATTGATTAAAAATATTTAGTCCAATTATTGAACTTGGTGCTTTCCTGGTCTGTAGAGCTTAATGCCTCACTGTACTATTGACAGGGCACAGGCTTGGATTTTGATGCATCAGAGATGGACGACAGGGGATGGAGGGAACCATGAAGTTACATACGATGGTTTTAGACTGTTGATCATGCTCTCTTGTGGTCTGAGAAGACCTCAGCAGCCATTCTCTGGCCTCCTGATATCTTTGAGGACCCAGCAGGCAGAGAAATCCTCCTGTCTCATCTTACAACTTAGGGTGCTGGTGTTGCTGGCAGAGCAATTGAGCTTCTGCTGTCCACAGCAGAAGGACTTCAGAGAAATCCCCAGGTGTGGAAGGCACCCATCCTTCCTCTCTTGTAAGGTGTACTTGTACATCCCTACTCACCTTAGAAGGATGAGGACCTGGTGAACACTCAGGCGACTTGTCCTTTCTTGAATTGCTACTGCTCCTTTGAGTTCATGGACAAAATGGTGACATGTAGATCTGTGCGTGTACACTTATTGATCTGGATATCCAAGTGAGTTGCCATTCTCTGATGAAGGAAGTCACATCACTGATGAGAGGGGAATGGTATCATTCATGGGGAATGGTATCATTCATGGTGCCTGGATGGATTCCTCCACTATCTGAGTCAGAGCATGGATACCCTGTAGACCTCCAGCATCTGTCATTGTGCAGACAACTCCACATCATCCCAGTGATACGACTGACTATAATGTATAATATCATCCAGTATTACTGTGGGGTTATCTTTTTAGCAAGATCTCCCTCTCGTCTAATGATTTCCTAAAAGTATTGACTCATCTTTGTACCTCCTAGAGCATTGAAAATGTTTGTGTCACACCAAAGTAGTCATTTTTCTTTGTGAGTTCCAAGTTTGAGCAT